CTGAAAATATTTGGGGGGGGGGGCGGTGAGGTTTAGATATTGACTTTTAGCGTGGATGAGTTTGGATCTTTCTAGTTTTGTGTTAATTTTAACTCTAGCTCTAACTAATCTATGGTCGCTACCTATAGAGAATTGGTTTATGACCGACACATCCTCGACAATGCATTTTTGATTACATAGGATATAGTCAATCTCATTCCTTGTAGATCCATCAGGGCTGGCCCAAGTCCATGTGTTGTTGGAAGAAGTTGAGCAGTCTCTCGCCTCTTTCATTTCTCTGTCTTAGGCCATATCCTATATGTGTGGTCCATCGTCTTTTTCATATTTGCCTATTTTTGCATTATAGTCGCCGATTATAAAAGAGAAATGTGTTTTTGATATACTCAAGGCTCTCGTTATATCTTCAGAGAAGCTATCAATTTCCTCTTCATCGGATGATGCAGTTGGTGCGTATACCTGAATAACTTTTAATGAGTATTTTCGATTCAATTTTAGGACGGCATCGGATATGGATTTGAGTTCCGTAATATTTTCCCGAAGTTTAAGTGAGATCAGTATAGCCACCCCACCTTGTGAGTCTACCTCAGAATTTCTCTGGCATAGTGTGGAACCATGTTTTAGGACGGTACACTTCTCCCCTTTCATCCTTGTCTCGCTGATGCCCAGTATATCCCATTTTATGTTTTCCAACTCCAGTTCCAGCTCTGAAAATTTTTCATCTGTTCTCATTGTCCATGTGTTGTACGTCACTATGTTTATTATATGTTGGCAGCCTGTCGTGACCTGGGGATTCTTAGCATCCCTGGCTCGATTCCTAGTCCGTCCGCTGCCTTTGCTAGGGATATTCGAGCCGACGGGGACTCGGGGCCTTGGCCTTTTTTGTGAATTCATGGAAAGTTCTGAAGGGAAAGCAATGGAAATATATCTATAATTTTTCACAAATTTGCACTCATGCGTTTTTAACTGAAAAAGGCACTCGTGCACTACGTGCACTCGTGCTCTTTTTCAACTAAAAATGCATTCGAGCAAATTTCCCAAAAATTATCAATAATTTCCATTGCACTAGTTATATTACTATTGATAATTTTGTTCCAGACTTTCCTGGATGTGCTTTTACGACGAGTACATGCAATATTTTTTTTTTTTATGAATGTGATTTCTTCTTGTAAAGTTTCAAGAATAGTAATAATAATAATATAGGGCAATTTTCTTAATATTTTTTTTTCCTCTCTTTCTTTCTGTAGGTACACTACACTGTTTCTAAGCATGGGGTTGTATTATTGGATTACTTAGAACAGAGGAGTTTTACTATTTTTCGGGGAGCGAAATTATTGACAAATAAAACACATGCTCTTCTCACCTTTCTAAGCCCAAACTCAATATAACCCTTGTTAGAATATCCTAAGCAAAACCGTCTTCAGACTATTAACTTCTATATAAAACATTCTTTGGATCACGAAATGAAGTTATCTCCCATCAATATATATAGATACTGATAAATACTGGTGATTATCGCTATATTAGATTTATCCTGTTTTAATCAACATATTTCTACGTTTTTTAAGATTACAGGCATAATTCCATAGGCGGTGTTTGATTTAAATTACCATCAGATGTCAGGACGGTCCCTTTTCTAAATCCCTTCATCTTTTTCTTTCATATACCTACCATGTTGAAATATTATTTTTAGTCCATTTTGCGGCGTCTTCTCTCTTTTCGTTAAATTATCTTTGGCTGAAGTTAGTTCCGAGAGGTGAATATTAAAATTTCGTTTCTGATTCAATTTTTTCCGATAAAATGCAGTCGGCATAAAGAATTATGGGTTTTATCAGAATGCAGCATAATAAAGAAATTAATCAGTAATTGTTAAAATTGAACAATTCTACAAGAAGAAATAATGATCGGCTTACTCTCCATAATAAATGAATTACAAATAACTTTAGGCGGTCGGGCATTATTTATAAGCCAGCCGTTCCCTTTTACGGTAGGCAATAATACTGACAGCTTCTTGTAAAAGGTTTTAATAAGAAAATAAATGCGGCAGTAGGACCCCAGCCTTGCCAACAATTTATCTGTTTTTAATTAAAGACATAAAAATTGCACCATATGAGCCTTAGTCTGAGATAACTGCGCTATTATTAACTGTTCTAGTGATTCAACAAATAGGCGCTTCTTTTGAAATGAAATAAGCTAGGTCAAATGTCAACGATATGGGTTTTCTCATAATTATTGTATTTTTGTTTATAGTCAGATTGCGAATGTATGTGGAATTGTGAATATTCTAAGTAGGTAATATAGTTTTGGGCATGCAAGTGGAAAGTAGCTTGGTTGAAGTTTAATAGGAACGGAACTTCTTATCGACAATAATGATCAAAATGTTGGTAGTGTCAACCTCGTTGTTAGCTTCATCTCGTAATTTTTCTATTTTTTTCTCCGATTTCTTCACGGACTATTTCGTCTTCAACGTCTTCTTTGAACCGTCCTATGTCGCATTTGAATTCTTTTCGAATTGGATTTCATGATGAATATTCTAGATCAATCCGGCGGTATTGTCTTCATTCTTGTTCTTGGTGGAATTCTTCAGTTTCGCTCGATCCTGTTTTTCTTTGCGCTGTCTGTGTTTTCTTCTGATTTCTTCTTTCAGTCGTTTGCATTCCTATTCTCTCGACATTTTCTGCAGCCGGTCTTGTTTTTCTTTTTTTTTTTTTTTTAATCGCTTGTCATCTTGTTGTCCCAAAATGTCTTGGAGTCGGTTTTGCTCTTGCTTTGTCTTTTGCTTCCTGTTTTGCTTTTAGGGTTCTGTATTCTTGTTCTTGCAGAATTTTCTGGAGTTCTCGTTTGTCTTCTTGGTATTCTAAACTTTTGCGCAGATGGTCCTGTTCTACCTCTGGTACTGTCATTCTGTTTAATTTGGAAATTGATGAGCTTATAAATGTAAGTGAAATCGTATGTATGTCCATTGAGTTTCATTGTGAAATGTCGGCTGTGATGTTGAGATATTTCCACTGTATAATTGTAACAGTATATAGAGCTCCTGATGGAGACATGCACATATTTTTAATTCAAAAACTTAGTTCTTCAGTTTATCAGCAACCGAAATATTAAATTCATTATATTCAATATTGATTTGGTTCAATACAAACAATGGAAGAAGGTCTGACTTAGAGAACTTATTTACTCAGCATAACCTAAAACATCAGATAACTGTTCCTACTAACTCGATAAACTGTATTGACAACATTTTTATAAATTTTGTGGATATTTTGGACTATGATATTGGCGTCTATGACCCCTAAATCTCTGACCACTTCGTTATTGATATTTCAGTTGAGATGGCCTGTTGTAAAACAGCGAATAGTTCATTATTTAGACCTATTACACAACGTGGAAGAAATATTCTGTTCAATTTCTTGGGTGGTCAGGACTGGGCTTCTGTAAATGATTTTGACTTATTTATGCAAATCTACCTTGAGGATATGTCTGGCTGCTCTCCCAGAGGTAAGCAGGAAAAATACAACCAATGGTATTGAATAGTTCAATGGTGAACTAAGAGTTAAGAGACTCGAGATTGATGAGGGAGATGTGTGCCATTAATCCCACCCCTGCATTTAAATTATACATAAATATTTGCGAAATCGAAAACAAAAATCCCGATATGTAGCTTGCAGGGTGCGCTAACATCGATAATTAAAAGGCTTGTTTTATGATATCCGGACCCACTTTACTGGGTCATCCTGTATACTTAGAGATTTGGTGCAATGATGAAAAATGCTTATTTTTGCTAGAAATTTTTAAAAAAATCGACCAGTCCTCGAAAACCCATAAGATGTGTGCGATGTTCTTTATCGTTGTAAATCTTCTTTAAACATTCGGTCCATAATAGTCTCTGTCTTTTTCGGTCGGCCTAAAGGTTTTTTGATTGTCCAGTCAAAATTCTTTGAATAGTTCTGGTTCCCACCTAAAATTTAAGGAAAATGTTGGTTGGATAAGAAATGGCTTCACATCTACATTTAAGTTATACCTACTTCAAATATATCTGCAAGTTGGGCTACAATTGTTCCCTGGAGAGCCTCTGGTTTATTTTTTTTTTTTAAATAACCATGACATTTTAATATTTCTTTTTTTTTTCTTCTGAGATTATTTTCGGCATCTTCAATACGAAAGAAATTTGACAATGCCGAATTTTAAAAAATGTCATTAGATTTTGCAGGTACGCAAAATAGTTAGGTATACCGTTTATAATATAGCATTATTGAAAAATGCATTGAAAAATGTGTCAAATTTGATTTGCCAGATAGGCCAGACAATTTTAATACCGCGGCACTCACGAAATTATGTATACTATACTACACTTAAAACTGTCTGGAATTTGACATATAATGTCATTATTAAACGAGGATCAACCTGCCAAATTTCCATGGATAATGCTACGTCAATAATAAGTGAAAAGCATATAGGTACTATGTAATTATCCGATATAAGACCTGATATTGAAAAAATGAGAGAAACCACCCTTTATTGAAACGTTACAATATCAATATGATATTTGGACATATTGATTATTATTAAACAGAGCAAAATATAATCGCGGTGGTTATTGTGGACAGTTCCGGTAAACTGAAAATTTTCAGCGGATATCCACTATTATTTATTAACGCATTATTAATTCATTTCAACGCGCAATTAATGTTTCAATATGAAAATTCAAGCTGAAATAATTAGATAATATAATTTATACTGAAAATATTAAATTATTTTAGTTAAGGCTCTATTGTTCAATTTGAATATTTATGTAAAAATATTCCAGCTGGAAATGTTGAATAAAGCCGGAATTTCATTGTGAGCTAAAATAACTTGTACAAAAACTCTTGAGAATTTCCGAAACAAATCCCTGTCGCCAATAAATCTATCAGTACCAACCATTATTGAAGCAAATTAGCCAATTGTCACAGAAAAGTTGGAATACTTAGTTGGGCCAGTGTTTTAAAACAATTTAGAGAATGCTTTTGATAGCTTGCGGGTAATTGTAGAAAAGCGTAAACATACAAGTTCATTGCTCGAAGGCATCAGAATAAAAGCTAAGTAAATTTCATTATTAGGTAAACAAGCGTAGGTATATCATTCTCCATGGGTGGCCTCTAATGGAAGTGTGTCGTGATGGTGTCCATTTAACGCGCCCGCAAGACTCTGTTCCTATAATAATATAATATTATTATTTGAATAATATTTGTACTACCTTTGAAGCTCGGGGCAAACTGCACATTAACGCCCATCTCTAGAGCAGAAACAACAACTTTTATATAGTTTACAGACTTCGAATTGCATTTTATTACCGTCAGATTCCTCTCTTTCAAATTAATATGCCATAAAAGAGGTTTTATTACAAAGCTAATTGGACTAAATAAGTGGCTGGTTGGCAATTTTAAATGTCAGCGGCTCGATATTTCAATTTCTTGGAATAATTTATTTTTTATTTGTTTCAGAATAAGACTTTTGACGTTGGTCATCACCCTGATGTATCTGGCTCCGTCTACCGGAGATGAAGACGAAGACGAATTTGAACTGCCCGATTCGTTTGCTTTGGGCGAATTAGCTCCAGAAGGTAAGATAATTGTACGTTTACAGGATATTTTTCTCCCAAATGGCTGCTCCAACAAAAGCCAAATACCTATGGGAAAAAACTCCAATTTATTAGGCAAGCCTTCTAAATTCAATACTGATAACACTATATAAAATGGGAAGAAAAAATGACATTCTTCACTCCAGGAAAGAAATATTTTACTTATTATGCTTCATTCACCTTTCAGCCCAAGGCTTCTTCTTCGATAGATATGGAATTTTCGGTTTTCATGTCCACGACTATCATTTTTCCACGACCAATAATTTTTCTAGTCATTCAAGTCTTGGTTACCTATTTGTTTTGGACGCGGATTTTAAGCCAACCAGATTCTCCTTCAGTATAATAATAACACTTTGTACCTTGTCCTTATTTCCAGTTAAAATCAAGTCATCCATGAATACTAAGAGCCAAATTTCTGCTTTTTGAATAGAGATACAATACAAATCATATTTAGATCTACTAAAACCCAAATATGTCATGACTTGATTGAATTTGTTGTGGCTTTCCTTAAGACCATACAGTGCTCTATTTAATTTTAACATTTTGGATATGTCAACATTTGGCTCCTCAAGTACTTTGATGTAAACATCAGTTTCAACGTTGCCATTTAGGAAGGTTGTTGGAATGTCCAACTGACATATTTTCCATCCCTTTATGAGAATCGCCCTCATGATCGACAACCTTGCAACTGGAGCATACCTACATAGTGCCTAAAGGATTCTCCTTCTTAATCTGGAACCCCTTAGCTACTAACCATGCCTTCTTCGAACCATCTTCTTTAGTTCTAAATACTCGTCTGATATCAATGTTCTCTAGAAGTTTACAACAGATTCCTGAGACTCAATGGTGTCGTAGGCAGCTCTTACTCATAATCTTCCAGGTGTTGTGGTTTATTTACCTGCCTTCCAACTCTTGTACCTAATTGTTGTCTCTTGACATTCTCGCATTTCTTCTGTTTCATCATGCAAAGCCTCAGATTCACTATTGTCGGCTTGTACTGAATTGTCCTGTTCAGAACTGTCCCTACTTTCCGAGTCACTTTCATAAAAACCTTGTTGATTCAATCTTTTGTTTTGCATAGGCCATACTACTAATAAGGTTCCCCCCTTAAAAAATGTGCAGGCATGAGGCAATTAAAATCAGATGGATCTGATGCTTGAGTTTGAAATGGCTTCAATTTGTGCCAATACAGTTGATATTTCCTCAAAGGTAAGAGTCAGAGTCCCAACAATCCTACGAAGGTGAAATTTAATGGACTTTATCCCTGTCTGCCATAATCCATGCCAGTGCAGGCTCACTGGTGGAATGAAACGCCATACAATTTCCTGACCAGCCAAAAACGTATGTATTTTATCTACATTATCCTGAGCTTTGAAAAACAAATACATTTCCCTTAATAAATTATTTGCGCCCTGAAAAATGGTAGCATTATCACTATAGATAGTGACTGGGCACCCTCTCCTAGCGATAAACCGTTTTAGAGTAGGTATGTACAAATGCCTCGGTAGGTACTCAAACTGCTCACAAGCTCGATATGCACCGTCTTCGTCACCATGCAAATAAACAATGCAATATATGCCTTACTCTTCACTGAACCCCTTAATCTTGATTGTTTGACTGTACTAGTCCTCCAAAATCAATACCAACCTTGGAAAATGGACGGGCTACGGACACCCTGTCCACAGGGAGAGAACCCATTATTTGACTTGCAGTCTGAGCCTTGAGTTTGTGACACATAACGCAACCTTGAGTTACAAATTTAACTTCTACCAAACCGTGAATAATCCAATATTTCAGTCTCAAGTTAGCCAAAACAGTATGAGGACCAGCATGAAAAAGTTTTATATGTTCTGCACGAATAATCAACCGGGTAACATAATTTTTTGCAGGTAACAGAATCGGAAATTTTGAGTCCTATTCAAGATTTGCCTGAGATAATCGTCCATTGATTCTAAGAATTCCTTGGTCATCCAGGAATGGATTTAAACATTTAAATTAGCTTTTCTTCAACAAGACGTCATTCGAAAAGTTAGCTGAACCTCTATTCGACTTTAAAGTTTCAATTTCTTGCCTGAAATTTTCCTCCGACTGAACAAGAAAGATAATCTTTACGAGTGAAATTTTTAATTCTTTCACTCTCAGTGAACCTTTGATACATTTCCTTTTTCCGAATCTCAAACAATATGCGACAGCTCTTTGGAGCCGATTGAAATTCGAAAACCTTTTCCAACCAATTCACTATGTGAGTAAGAGCAACTTTTTTTTGTTCTGGAAGACCCTTAACCTTAGAGCAGTCAAACTCCGTGAAGATTGATTCTGTATTCAGAAGAAATTTCGGCCCATGCCACCACAAGTCGTACCCAATAATATCCGACGTTTGAATACCTCTGGAGAGACAATCAGTAGAGTTTTCGCGTGACCCAATATGCAGCCAATGACAATTAATAGTTAGTTCTTGTATCTCTGCCACCCTATTAGAAACAAAGGGAGTCCAACGAGCTGGTGAAGCCTTCAGGCAACACGAAACGATGCTTAAATCTGTCCACAGATAAACCTTGTTAATTTTCAGATCGAGTACTGCTAAAATCCTGTGGACCAATCTCGAGAGCAGAAGTGCACTACACAACTCGAGGCGTCGCAGAGTTACTGTTTTCAATGGTGCAATGCGAGATTTTGAGCACACCAAATTAGATGATGCTGATTTGTCTGAATAGATTGCCCTTACATAGACGCATGCCCCATAAGCAGCCATGTATGCGTCTGCAAAACCATGAATTTGCAACTCAGTGATTGTTTGAGATTTGAACAATCATCGAGGAATTTCCAGTTGACACAAATTGCCAAGATTTTCTGAAAATAACAACCATTTTTGAAAAATATCTTGTGGGAGATTTTCGTCCCGCAGTCTATTTTGGCGGCCCAAATTTCCTGCATTAGAATTTTTCCAATCACCACTACTGGACCCACGTAACCCATAGGATCAAACATTTTCAAAATCCGGGATAAAACTAATCTTTTCGTAACTACTGAACTATCTCCAGTCTGAACATCTGGAGTAGAAATTTGAAATATATCTCGAAATGGAAACCAGATCATACCCAAAACCTTATTTGAACATTTATCAATATTGGGGTCAACTTGACTTTGTTCAGTGCACGTTTTACCAAAATCAACAAGATTTTTATTATTTGAGCACCATTTGTGCAGTGTGAATCCCCCTGTCAGTTCCCTAGCTTCCTGTTCGGTGTTTGCCCCACAAAGTATATCGTCCCCATAACACTGTTTAAATACAGCCCTTGAAGCAAGCGGGAAATTCACTGCTTCATCAGAAGCCAATTTATTCAGACACCGAGTGGCCAAAAATGGCGCTGAGTTTGTCCCATATGTGACTGTTTGCAATTCAATCACCCTCACTGGCTCATCTGGACGATCCCTCTACAAAATATTCTGCAGGAATCGTTGATTCGGGTTCACCTGTATCATGCGATACATTTTCTTTATGTCAGAAGACAAAACATATTCGAACGTTCGAAACCTGCAAATTATGTCGAACAACTCTTATGTGATTTGTAGAATTATTACCCTTGGAATTATCTATCAATTTCTACATTTTCAAGTGCTACGCACCGATTTTCCAAAAATTGAATAAATTGATCAAGCGTTGGCAACGCTCCAGAAATCCCAGACAATCCCGGAATCCCTTGAGTAACATATCTTTCCAATTCGTATGCCTTATGAGTTTGAAAATCAAGTTTTTGAGCAAATAGAAATACTAATTAAACGTCCCATTCCTTTACTGGTAATTTAAGTGATTTTAAAGAATCAATGTGCTGCTTAATGTGCGTTAGAAACGCCCTGATTTGCTTACCTGAACCTTTAATTATAGGAGGTGTATTTAACAAAATTTTTAAATGACAATTTATAACTACAAGTTTATTGTCAAATCTGTTTTTAAAAATAGTAAGCGCATTGAAGTAATAATCATTGGTCAATGGCAAATTATTGATCAAATTTAAGGCCTCTCCCGATAATGCCCCTTTTAAATAAAGAAATTTCTGCACATTGTCCAGTGACGAATTACTGCCAATAACTGCAGTAAACAAATCGATGAAAGCTTGCCAATCTTCGACTTTGCCAGAAAAATTTGGCGTCTTTATATTTGGCAACTTTGCACTGTCCTGATGAATGGGAGATGGGGAAGGTTGTTGCACATTTTGTAATAATATATGGCTGTTTTACTAAGTTGTTTTATTGAAGATTTAAGTTTTGCCCATGCTGATAAATATTTCCCCTCTACCAGCTCCCTATCCTTTTCCTCATCCTCGTCAATTGCCTCTATTTGTGATTGAATATTACAATACTCATCATATTTTTTTTGTAAGAATACTGCCCTTGTTTCATAAATAATGTTGACACAAATTTTTCTATCCTAGTGAAAGCAGCTTTTTGAGTTGCCCTTTGTCCTACCTAACCTACAAGTATCGAAATTACACCCTCCTAAATAATATTAACAATATGCTTAAAGCAAGTAAATCACCTACTTTAAATGTCCCCTATTTATCACCTAAATAAACCCTAAATCCTAAACCTATTTTATTTAGAATATTTCAATTTCAACGAAAAGTTTATTTTCAATATTATAATCCAACGTTATGCAAATAATCTGAGTAACCCAAAAGTTTTAAACGTCCACTTTAAACTGAAGAAATTTCCCTTGTGCAACAGCCTGCCGCCGATTTGAACACAAAATAAAAATAAGGAATAATCTGACCTTGATTTTCTCCTTGATTGTTCTGTATCCACTATCGAGTCAGTATCCACTCGCCGTAGTATCAAATTTTCCACTCAATGAATGCCCATACAAAACCCTCCAAATCCAGCTTGAAGGACCATTATGTTCGCTGTGATGAACATTTTACCGTTTACCTGGTCGCTGAAATTGCTTTGTACATTTGCTTGTACCCTTGATTGCCTTGGTTTTC